TTAGGCGAGGCGCATGCGCAGAAAATGTAAATATGATTTAAAACATCTAATTCGTCAAACACCGCACATTTTTTCAATCGAAGGAAAAGTTTTTAAGTCATGAGAGAGTTTTTCAACCCTAAAGCGCAATAAAAAAAAAACCTGTAATTCATATGTTTTATTCCATTTAAGCATATGAACAATAAAAACTCACACAAAAAATAAATTTTCAACATGTTTATTACAAAAACGTTTATTACAAAAAGCAAGGGCGAAAGAAAAAACCTAAGCAAAAGTTACAAAAAGCAAGGAAAAAAGCAAGGGTGAAATGCGACTACGAAATGGGTCTAACCTTCAGGCACTTGATTAATACAAGTTAGCATTGGACAAAGCTTTATATAGAAATAAGCTAAGTTGTGTTCTTTGTTTCCGAAAGAGATAATTGTTTAAACAGTTTTAAGAGAACCTTCATGTCTTTCTCTAATTCGGAATGGATTTTTGCCCTTTTTTCCAGATCCCATGAGAAACTCCTTTCCAAGGAACACGTGGAACACATACAACGCGAACGACACGCATGCATGTTTATTCACTCATCCACCACTCCACAGCTTCCATACAACGTTTCTCTATAGATTCTTGAAACTCTTTTTCCAATTTGTCTTGTTTCTCTTTCAGTGCTTCTAATATTTTTCCAAATTGAATTTTGTATGTAATTGTTCTTCTTCGAGTTGTCTTATGACGGATTCTAAAGATTCCAAATAATCTGATAGCATGTAGTCTACATTCGATTTCACTTGTTCTAAGGTTGTTTCCAACTGTGTCACTTTACGAGTTAATGTCTGTAGACTCTCTTGTATATTTGGAGCCTTGGAAGTTTGTTGTTGTTGTGTTCCAAGACTAGGGAGTCTACTTCCTTTTTCAGTTCTTCTTGCGTCTCTTTGATGTTAGCTATTTTTTCATGTATTTGTTCAGCCACAGAAGTACATGGAAGATTCATGATGAATGATAAAAGAGAGTGAATGAGTCAAGTCATATAGGTATTTGTTTGAAACTAGTTTGACTGGTGATGATGTCAGTTTGCTTACCCAAACGTGCCCAATACCCTAGAGTAGAAAAACTATGATGTTCTTGATACTTGCCCAAACTTGCCCTTATCTCCAGAGTAAAAACTAGTTTGACCGGTAATACGTCATTTTATGCTTGCACAAGTCATATGTTTGACGAGTCATGATGTCACTTTATAAAACAAAAAACAATTTTCAATTGCCCACATTTGCTCTTACCCATAGAGTAAAAACTATTTTGACCAGTAATAGCATCATTTTATTCTATAAAAGAAAGAAAATCAAACGAAACGTCATCACTCATCCTGGCAGAAGCACACGTAAAAGCTGTTATGAAGAAAAGAAAGATGACTTGGTTCCTCCAACAAAAGTAGTGAAGATTCAAGAAGAATTAATGGAAGAAGGCGAAGTGCGAGACATTTTGGAAGAAATGGGATTTGAACTCCCTTCCCCCTTGCCAAGATGTTTCTTTCATCCGAAAAAAGAGTCGGAAAAAAAGACTTCCCAAGCTGGGTTTAATTACAGGCAGTGTCCCCTGAAAGAATGCTCCGTCTTTATCGTTTGAAATATTATTACGCTTGTGCACACGATTCAGAGAAGCTGTTAGCCGTGTACTATGTTTTGCTAAGAAAGAATTTGCTGAAATGTGGGTGTCGACAACCCATGAAACTCTGCCTGTCCTACAGTGACATGATTCCAAAACATCTGTATTTCCGTTGTCAGAGAAATCGCTGCAAAGTATTTCAATGGACAGATGAAATGCCTACCGGTCGCAATCAAGAATTATGGAATCCCAATTCTGTGGATTTCAATGATCCCTTGTGGGAAGACATCTGCACTCATACTCAATTCCAAACGACCCAAGACTCCAACAAGATTGAATTTCCTCCTGAGGTATGGGGCATGAAATAAAGAGCAGAAGATCGTGAAGTTTTGTTGCGTATTGTGTACATGATGCGCCAATTGAGACAAGCAAGAGGTATAAAGGAAAACGATTGAGAATCAAGAATCATATGTTGCAGTTTTCATCATGAAAAGACGCGTACCTTTGATAATGTCTGAACTGTTACCTATGGAGAGTTTACAGCAAGAAGAAACAGTGACTCCAGACGTAAAGACGGATGTGGTAGAAAGATTTGAAAAGAAACTTAGAAAGACAAAGACAAAGTCCAGAAAAAAAAAGTGTCAAATGTTCAAAACTGAAAACTTTATGAAAAAGAAACAAAGAGGACCACAATAAATAAGAGAGCATCTTTGATTAGTTTGTTGTCAAAGATGAAGTGGGCCAAGACTCCTTTAGTAAAACTGTTGCATAAAAAGAAACTAGATAGGATGTAATATAATGACATGATTATTGTGAATAAATTTCCGTTGTGATTTAATATCATAAGTTGTGTTTCTTGTGTTGCGAGCTTTGTCAGCAAAGCCATAGATAGATTATGTTGGAATATTGTGTTACAAATATGCAGAGACATTTATCGAAAGTGTTTTGCCCCAGAAGATTGGGAAGTGTTTGAAGAGGAAGACATGTATCCACCCGCAAAAGTGTTTGCCAAAGCGGTCACGAGTCCCTTTCGTTTCATTGTCTTTATACTATGGTTGCATGATACTTACCTGGAAGATGCTTGGATTCATTTCAAACACATTAAGGCTATATATGCAGAACTTTGTACATCTATCTTTTCATTAATACGCCTACTGTTGAACCTATGTCATGGCACCCCGCACCAAGAGTAGGAAAAGGAATAAACGTGACAAAGAAAGAGAATTACTTGAAGCTTATGGAGATCCTACAAAACCGGGAAGTTTGGGAGGTGCGTCGCGTTTTGCTCATATACATTGTCTGAAACCTGCCGAAGTTCAAAAGATTCTCTAAAAATATTTGGCTTACACGGTCCATTGACTGAGACGACACGGAAGATTTCACACCTTAGCCGTATTGGTGTTTGGTAAAGACAAGCAGTGAGCTGCAGATTTAGTGGAAATGCAACCTTTGGCCTAATATAATAGTGGAAATCGTTATCTTATGGTAGTTGTGGATGCGTTTTCAAAATGTGCTTGCGTAGAACCTATAAAATCTAAAACGGGAATAGCCGTCACTGAGGTATTTAAAAAATCTCAAAACGCGCCGAAGGAAGAACACCACAAACATTACAAACAGATGATGGAAAATAATTTTATAATCACACATTTCAAAAATTGATGAAAGATAAAGACTCATCATTTTTCTACGACCGGTGATACAAAAGCCAGCGTGGTAGAACGATTTAATCGCACTTTGAAAAGTAGAAAGTATCGTTCTTTCACGAGTGCCAATACTTACAAGCGTTGGTCGGAGGATACAACAAATCCTTTCATCGAAGTGTAGGAATGAAACCTTCTCAAACTCATTAATTATTCATACGGTTATAAGCCAATTGGAGTGCCCCATTTTGGTCAGGTGCATGTATCCTTGATACCCAATGAAAATCTAGATCAAGATTACTCGGGTTAGTTCAAAAACTGATGAAAACACTGATCGAGACACTTGTTTTTTAATTGGCAAGCTCAATTACTGTACAATCAATTATTCACTACCGTACTTCAAAAAGTTATTCACAATGTGAAAATTACAATTCTGGAAAGTTCCTTCGTGGAACGCGGCATTAAATAAAGGACTTAATGGCTTTTCATCCTCTTGTTTACAAGTTCCCCTTTGGAAGTACTTACACACCATTTGGACCCAGCAAATAAGATACCTTTCCTTTATTTTCCTCACTTGGTTTCTCATACTTTAATAAAGCATCGGACCGATGTCCTGTTCGCTCACGTATAAGCTTTTCTTCTACTCCAGCATTAAAAAGAAAAGAAGCTCATGTGACGCATAGGCAATGCACAGTTTTCCGTTTTACCCCTGCTACCTCACATAAATCTGGCAATACCTTATTTAGAGTGTTAATACCGACTGGAACGTTTTCAAACTAAATTTGGCCTTAGATGCCTTGCAGTAAAGTGCATCACCATTCTTTCCAAAGACTTCCACTAAGCCTATATACAAGCGATATATTTCAACAAGACAAGGCTCGTGTTTTGCGCCTTCTTCGTGACAGATATGCTTAACTGTTCTGGGAATATATTTCAGATCAGAGACTCCTCCATGAAACGTTTTACAAGAATTTTCTTGAAACTTAATAAAATTAGACCCCAGCTCAAAATTATTTAACACAATATTTTTATGATCTCCACCTCGTAAACCAAATATTTTTCCATTGTAAAAATACACAGTATACAATATGACGTAGCTGAGCTCATTCCTAATAAGTTCATCTCCCACAATTTTCTTTCTTCTTCAGTGGTGACAAATTCTTTCTCCTCCTTTTGGCACTTGATATGGAGGCCTTCTTTGGTAGCATTCTTCGGTAGCATTCTTCATATCTGCATCTAAGGCATGCCGAAAAATGCTGAACCCATTGTAATTAATCCACCAACAAGATTATGTCACTTTAAAGAAAAACTGAAACTATTCCCGAAATAAAACTGTTTCTTGGTGTTTGGAACCACTGATGAAACACTCGCACTTGTTTTTGACACCTCAGAAATGACTTTGGAAAATTCTAGTGATGTGTGGTATACATTGTATAGTAAAAAGATTAAAACAACAACGCAAATTGAAACCCTGATTTCGAGTAAACGACATGTGGGATACATTGTACGGTAAAAAATTAAAACAACAACGCAAATTGAAACCCCTATTTCGAGTCAACGATAGAGTTCAATTAAACAAAAAATCCAGGATGTTTAAAAAGGGATATTTACCAGGTTGGACTGGAGAGGTGTTTATTGTGTCAAATGTGGTACCTGGAGTGGTCTACACCTATAAAGTCAAAGAAATGGATGATACACCCATGCAAGGTACTTTTTACGAACAAGACTTGCAAAAAGTACAAATACCCGACGAGGCTTTGTATCGTATAGAAAAAGTCCTTAAACGCCAAGGCAATAAAGTTCCTGTCAGTTGAAAAGGTTTCCCTCTGAAATATAACTCTTGGTTGAACAAGAAAGACATTCGGAAGGTATGATGGATTTCTACATACACTTGGAGAGCGATGCGTGCGTGCAAGAGTTTCCACACAATTCACAGTACAGCTTTAAAAATCGTTTACCTTATCCCATCTACATGAAAGAACGAGGATGGAGAGTGGGATTGGCTAATGTGAGTTATGCTCTAAGCCGTCCGAGAAGATTTTCCCACGACAAATTTGGAGAAGAGGGAAATCATATCTTCTAGGGAGGCGTTAGTATAGGAATCACCTATAACGATCAAAACGATATTCAAAAAATAATCCTATCCAATTCCATATACCTGAGTTGGACTAGATTTGTGGAAATGGGACGCACTTTCCAAAGTGGAGTGGAATTCATGAATTTCCTGGTAGATTATTATGGGGGACTTATATCCGATACCAAAAGACACGGTGCGGATTTCATGATTAAAAAATACGGCAAAAGAGCTGATGACCCTCACAAGTTAGATTTCGATAAGGTCTTACTCAAAGGAAGAGGATACATTACGTTCAAGTGGGAAGGAGACGATTTGATCATCGACGACATTCACACATGGCGAGAAGACAAGAATGTATTTGGAAATGCAATAAATGCATGACCTAGTATTCAATTCGGTACAGAATTGGCCTTTGCCACACAATAATTTACAAAGTGGACGTTGAGTTTCTTTATCTCGGTGTATTTGCCGATTTGATATTTATCAATCTGAATTTCTTGTTTGAGAGCATGATGGGATGGAATATTCTTCACAAACACGGTATCGAAAGAACGTTGCGTGTTGAATCGAATGTGGCTGCTAGCACAATTGTGGGAAATCAAATCACGCATGTCTTGCGAGAAATACAATATATACCCTTGACAAATTATTATGAACCCTCACACATTCAATATATTCCAGTGCGTCAACAATTTTGCGACATAATTGAAGTGGATCTTTGCGAGGAAAACGAAAAAAACGCTACCTTTGAAACGGGTAAAACCACCGTGACTCTTCTTTTCAAGCAATATGGCCGCTAGCGGAATCGTGGTGACATTACCCAGCAGTAGTAGCAAATCGGAATTTTCCAACAATAAAACGTCCAGTTACAAGATTCGTCTACCTTAACCATTGGAGAATTGAATGGGAAGTGGGATTGATTAGTATTACTCTACCTGACATGTACCTGGAAATGAGTATATTGAAAGACATGAACAGTTTTGAACTAAAAAATGTCAGAAATTACACTGGAGACAATGTGGAAGTACCTAAAAACAATACAGCCATTTTTACTGTCACTTGCGCGATCAAACTACTGAGAGGCGCGTTTCCTGGAATAAAAAATTTCATGTTGCATGTGAAGCACGACGATATCAAACATTCAAATCTCATCACGTATGGAACTAGCTTTATGAAAGTGGTGATAAACAAGTATGAAGAACTTGTCATGCAATAAAGAACGAATTATGATGAAGGTCCAGGAAATAATACCAGACTAAAATAAAGTCAGACTACGTTATATACTGACAAGAAGACCAATTTTTTACTTGAAATGGGAAAGAGACGAGCTGGTCATAGACAACAAAAACTCTCCAAATTACGAGAAACCAGAACATCCTTACGTGTTCATGAGTTGGAATAAAGACTTGGCTTTGAAAATGGGATGGATTACACCATGGCCAGAGAAGAACTCGTTCAGACTTGGATCAAATCTCATACTGGAAAGCTATGCAGAGTACTAATGTGCCTCTGCAGCTCACGATCTGATGTTCAGACCCATGCAAACCAACAAAGCTAACGGTTTCGACATGTCTACCCTTCAGTATTACTTTCACCCCGACGAAAATGAAGAACAAGTGTATCTCAGTGCGGAATGTAATTCGAGATTCAAAAATATCCATAAAGCCTTTGATCACATGATGGGAAAGACTGCACAGAGTTTTTTCATGTACTCGGACGTGATGATGAGTGGCATTGTAGGAAATCAAGTCTCCGATCTCTTGCGAGAGGTTAAATACCAATGCACAGGAGCAGGAGTGAATTATTTCGAACTGTTACACATTCAGTACTTACCAGTGTGAGGCAACACCATTCATACCATCATAGTAGAAGTGTCCAATCATAAAGGGGAATTGGTTAAATTCAGAGAAGGAGACACCATAGCGACATTACATTTCAAACGGCAATCATAGGAGGAGGTTCTTTAAAGAGATTCAAACTCGATGTACGAGGAAAAAAGAAGGAATAAAAGATGTCTTGAGAGACATTTTGAGTGACATGTGGAAAGGAGGTGTTGCAGGCCTTAAAAAGAAAGCACCTCTTCGCAAGAGACCATGCAATGCGATCAGTGGTTTTCAACAAGGATTAAAGAGCGGTATCAAAAGAGGAGTGACAAACAGAGTGAAACATCAAGCAGCCAAATGACTGAAAGGATTTTTTGATTGAGAATGAATCGTATGGGATCCGTCTATTCTAGAAAGGTGTCTCGCGTGCGTTCAAGAAAAGCTGTAGGTGTGGGTTGACAAAAAGAAGGAAACATATTTTCTACCGTGAAACGGCGATGTCAGTGTCTGAGTACAAGAAGGAGGATGAATCTTTCAAGAATCACCAGTTGTGCCTGGATACGAACCTGAAACTGTCGAGTGGTTGACGAAACACACCACAAGAAGAAGAAAGAAGAAACGATAATGTCTATGGAAGTTAATCCCATGTACGGGAGTTCATTACCCATGGTCAATGCAAAATTAGACCTTTTCAAAATGCCGCCAATGGACACCAGTACCTCTTCCTACCATATGGTAACCATTCAACCGTTCACTACTGGCACGACACCCATTGATTTCCAAGTGGATGCCCAAGGGGATTTTGTGGATTTGAACCGAAGTTATTTCGATGTGGAATTACAATTGAGTTCGACTGATAATAATAACTTGGCTAGGACTGCCAATGACACAGACACCACGATTGCACCTGTGAACAATTTTGCTCATTCCATCTTCAAACAAATCAACATGAGATTGAATGGAACTCTGATCAGCGGACAAGACACAAAGCGTATATGGAAACTCTTAAACAACAACAGACAAGCCGGTGAAATGATCTTAGTTCCTCAAGGAACACATCGATGTGGTAAGCCAATACACAGCTGCAGACATCAAAAATGAAGATTCTCAGCACGCAGCCCTATCCCAGCAACACAAAGATACTTTGAAAACACAGAAAGATGCCCTAGTTCCTTTTGTAGCACAAAGAAGGCATATGCTGAGGATGAAACATCATTTGGAACCCTTAATGATGGGAAAACTTTTAGTGCCTGGAGTACAATTTAGTATTCAATTTCATATGAATGCACCAGAACTAATCTTCAATGCTGTGACTATCCAAGGAAAAATCAGGGAAATCAAGATGAATATGTACCTGTGCGTGGTATGGTTAAATGAAACCATCTCTAGAAGTCTGATGAGTAAAATGGCCACCCAGAAAGAAATTGTCAAGTATCCCACAGTCAGGTCCGAAATCGCTACGCAATCGTTCAGACAAGAAGAAAGGATACTGGAAATACGAAATCCCTTCCAATCCAGGATACCCAATTTCACTATGGCAGCACTGGTGAACACAGCCGCTTTCAATGGTGCCTACGACCGAGATCCATTTTGTTTTGAAAAATCTAGAGTGACCAGTTTAAAGCAATTTATCAGAGGAGAAGAATATCCATATGAATCTATGGACCTCAACTACAATGATGGACAAAAAGATTGGACAGGATATCACAGATTTCTACAAGCTTCTGGCTGCATGACCAAAGGAGAACCTAACATGGTCTTGTCCAAAGATTGGGGGCAATATTACGTAGGCACTTATGTCAAAAATGGCAATTGTACTCTGTTTTCCATTGACAACGTAGCCAGCGGATGTGTGGATTGTCCCTATTTAAACTCCAAGCAATCAGGTGATATCGTATACAAGATTTTCGTGGGCACCGGAGGTTTACCTGCAGATACCACAGTCCTTTTGCTTGCTGAATTTGAAAACCTGATAGAAGTGTATTCTAACCAAGCCGTTTTGAACGACATTATACGTGGACACACACCTGGCAACGCATGAAGATGGAAAAGATAATCCTAAATAATGTGCAGTTAGATTTTTGAGTGCGTCACGATCCTAGACTCCAACCGCATTTTTACGGAACTGCACCCAGCGATAAGTTACCTAGACATCATCAGAAAGACAGATCTGTCAGATACATTGTAAACACAGATCCGCATGATCAACCTGGAAGACACTGGATAGCACTTTGGACAACCCTGGAAAACATGTGTGAAATTTTTGATAGTTATGCGTTACCATTACAAGTGTATGAAACCACTCAGCTGTTGATCGATTGGATCAACACACAGTCTCTTTACAGTCAGAGTTGCGGAGATTATGCCTTGATGTATTTGAGACACAGAGCTAGAGGAAAAGACATGCGTAAATTTTTTAACTGTTTTCTAGACATGATTTCGTAGCCAATGATCATAAAGTAGGTCAAATGTTAAAAAAGCTAATAGGAAAAGAGATTTCACAAGAAGAATGGTGTATGACCTCAGGCAAAGACTCGCATCAAACTTGTAAATGTATTTTTGGAAAAAAAATAAAGCTTTTGTTTGATGTATTGTCTCGCGTGATGGCAGGGTAGCTCAGACGTGTAGAGCGTCGAACACACAACTCCACCAGTGGTGAGGTAAGTCTGTCTGAAGGCTATAGGTTCAAATCCTATCCCAGTCAAACTTGAACCATGCATGCGCATTTTTTTTTTATTTTTAGAAATTTTTTTAAAATTTTTTTTCACTTTTTTGTTTTTTTTGAGGATCAAAATCTCAGTATGGGATGATTGCTGAACATGTACAGCGTAACATTTACATCTCTAAGGATGTCAAGTTTTCTTTTCAAACACGAAATCAATAAAAAATGATTTAAAAAATAAGAAAAAATAAATTAAAAATAAATAAATAAATAAATAAAAATAAACACGTAAAATTTGCCGTGACCAGGATTTGAACCTGGGTTACTGCAGAAGAAGTCAAAAGAAGTCCAAAGAAGTCATGGATTTTTTTACCAAACAGTCATCACTGAAAAATTACAGTTCTTTATCTCTGTCAAGATATGTTTCCACCTGGTAAATACGCCAAGACCATTTCTTGTAATTCGCATTACATTGATGCTTTCAAGAATCCTCGCGATCAACTGAGTATGCGTAATATCTTATTACAAGTGTATCCTAAAACATGGGAACAGCTGATGAAAATCTATCGAAAAGAAACCGAGGGACCATTTGGATATTTGACGGTGGATTTTCATCTGGTCAGTCATGATGGGTTTCGCATTGTGAGCCACGTATTAAAGCATAAATGCTGTATGCGATGTTTCATTTTACCTCCGCATAAACACCTATAATAATAATGATTGTGATTCAGTTAACAAGTTATTATTATTATTATTATTATTATTATTATTATTTAAATATTCATACAATTGATTAAAAACAACTCTTTCAATTAATTTACTCACTACAGGCAGAACTGAGATAGGTCTGTAGTTGTTAGGATCAGTCCTGAGGTCTTGGCGAAACTAGTTCGCTTCCAAGCTTTTGGAAATATTCCGGTGGCAATTGACTGATTTATTATAAGAGTTAGACTACGAGTAACTATGGGAGATGCTTCTTTCAGCAGACGCGCTGAGATGTTATCAAGACCACTGGCTTTATTACTGGGTATTTTCTGAATTAAATTGAAGACCTCCTGGCATGATACTTTCGCCAAGTTAAAAATGTGTCCTACAGGGGTAATATAATCAGTAAAATTGCTGGATGTGTCTTTAATTTCAGAGGCTAAGGAAGGTCCTATTTTGGAGAAATGTGTGTTGAGTATATTACTGATTTTGATGGGGTCGGTATTTACAGTATCCCCAGTATCCAGCTGAGTTATCTTATTAGATTTAGGTTCATTCCCATTAGTCTATTAATTCCTTTCCAAGTTGCCTTTACGTTTCTGCGGTTATCTTTGAAGAAGGCATTGTAATATTTCATTTTAGCATTCTTAATCTCATGATTAACCTTATTCTTCATGTGTTTGTAAAAAGTCCAATTGCAATCTGTTGGGAACCTCGAGGCTAATTTTTTAAGTTTATCTCTCAGAAACATTAGCCTTTTTAGCTCTGGAGTAATCCAGGGGGAAGAGATTCCTTTCACTCTCTTCTTCTTTGGTGGTGCATGGCTATTAGTAATGTCTAAGAACATATGTTGCCATATATCCCAAGCAGTGTCAGGATTATGCTCCTGTTCAATCAGATGCCACGAGACCATAGAGAAATCAGTTCAAAAACTATCTGGAATAAAATTTTTAAAGCATCTGTTCGTTACAGTCTTTGGATTTGATTTGGGGATACAAATCTTTCTTATTGCATACACCAGACAGTGATCACTGATTCCGATATCGACGACTCCGGAGTCCGAGAAATTCGACGGATGATTAGTTAAAAACAAATCAATAATAGATGATGTGAGCTGTGTTATACGTGTTGGCTGATCAACTAACTGCCTATACTGGTAATTATCACAGAGATCTAGTAGTTTTTGAGTGCTGCAATCTGGTGATGTTGCACCAACATTACAATTTAGGTCACCGATAATGTCAACCTCCATATGATACGAGTCCAATTTTTGCAGTACATCTTCAAATCTGTGCATGAGTTCAGTGGTGGACCCTGGAGGCCTATACCAAGTGCATACAATAAATGGTTTTGTTTTCGGCTTCGACACTTGGATACTGATCAGATCTATGTTATCATCCGGGAGGTCATTGAGAGGCTTATAATTGATTGAGTCCCTAATATAGAAGGCCACACCACCCCCATTTCTATTTCTATCTTTCCTTTCAAGGGTATATCCAGGAATATTGACTTCACCATTTTGAATAGAGCTGTCAAGACGAGTCTCATTAATAGCTAGTATATCAACTGTCTTGGACAGCATATAGATCCTAAGCTGCTCAATATTTTTATACAAGCTGGCCAAATTAATAGAAACAATTTTAAAACCTTTAGTTAATGGAATACCCAATTTTGGTTGCACGTGTACGCTACTAAAAAATCTATTAGGCAAATCCGTCAGAGTTTTTGGATGAACTTGGCTATTATCATCTAGTTCAATATGGGAATTCGTAGTGAAATTACTTACATCACTGTGTCTCTTCAATGTACAATTCTCGTCCAGATCATCAACCTGGTTCAATGATTTGTCATTTCTCTTACTTGGCTCAAGTAATTGGTCCACATCGTGGTATGGTTCAAAGGTATGCGTACTCGGAAGTGGTTCTGCCGAAAACCCGTTGCCAGCTTTGTTGTCAGTTCTTGGCCAGAGCGAGGCAAGTTAGGTCGTCTTAGATATCCACAAAGATTGCTCCCAAGAACTTTGCTTCCACTGCTTTTGAGATGTAGATTTGATCTGTTTAGATGATGGGCCAATATATTCCTGTTGTCAATAAAACATACATTTATGTTATACGGTAAGTCTGTTAAAGCGGTTTACTTTGCGAGTGGTGACAGCAGCTGAGTCATTTCTTAACGTCACAGCCGATATGGCCAGGGACTTTGTCTTCGGTTTCAGGTCATTGATTAGCATGCGCAGTTTCGTGGCAGCCGCGTCTTCATTTTCAGCAGCTAAATCATTTGTTCCACAATAAACGATTAGGGCCATGTTCCCATCAATGTGGCCGGACGCAAGAAACTCATTTACTTTCTTGTGGATATCTTTAATCTTGGCTCCTCGAGAACATTCAACTATGGTCTTCCCTCTGTAGGCACGGGATAATTTCTTAGGTTCTATATTTTTGACTAGTGAGTCCCCAATTAGGCAGGCTTTTATTCGGTTTGTCTGCGCTAACAGGAACCTGTTCTGAGGAATTGATAGCTGTAACTGTAGAGTTAGCAATGGAAGGTTGAGTGGATGATTCAGAGATAGCAGTAGTAAACTGAGAAATGAACTGTTGCTTGTGTTGTAATCGGTATTCTGCTAGTTGATCAGTCAAGGTCATAGGCGTTGATCGATCTGCATTGATTATCTGTGGCGAATTTTCATCAGGTTTGGTGTCAGATGCTTTAGGCGATATTTCATCGTCGGAAACCTCGAGCACCTTGAATTTATTTTGAATATCTATGGGTCTTCTATTTTTACCGACACTTGTCCACCCCTGGGAATCAGGCAAGATATGCGATGGTTTCTGGAAGTGAGAAGTTATGTCATTTCGAAGATTAATTACTGCATTGGCTATTTCGTTGGTAGCGACCAGTAATGCAGCATGAGAATCTTTCAGATCATTTGTTTCCGGTATTCTTTGTAATTGGGTCTGGAGGTGAGAGGTTACGTCATTTCGTAGTGCAGTCAATTCGTTTGTTATTTCATTGTTCGCCGCCAGTAAAGCAGCATGAGAAGCTTTCAGATCAATTAGTTCGTTAGACACTTTTTTTAACAACAACGACAACTGAGTTAATTGACTGTCGTAATCAGCTTCGATATCCTTGATCAGATTTGAATATGGAGATTTGTTAGCATTCAAAATGACTTCCACGTATGCGTTATCAATAATAGTTTCAGCTTTAGCTAGGTCGTCTTCAGTGGGTGAAACAGGAGGTTTAGCAAAATCCCCTCCAAAGCTGTCGTCAGCGTTAATTGTAATAGGGCCATCACTAGGTGAAATAGGCTCCGTAGCTATAAACTCTCTCGCTTGAACATCGTTGTCTAGATTCCCCTGGAATGCGTTCGACGTTTCGCCAACCGAGTGTGCCCAAGTTGAACAAGTTGAAGTTAGCTTAATTAAATCTTTTCTCAGTTTGTCTGCATCTTCTTTTCCCTGAATTTTTAAAGTTCTCAGAAAGAAGTTACAAGTGATGTTTTGAAACTTGAAAATAGCACAGGTTCCATTGTCGTTAGCGCGAAATTGATTAGGCTGAACTTCCAAATGCAAGGCCAGAAACTTGAGTAGGTCGTTCTTAGATCCATTCCATTTGGGCTGATTTTTCGTAGACAGGAAAGATAATTTCTTACAAAGGGCTTTCAAATCCTCCATTGCTTGTTAAACAACCTCTTTCCAGATCAATTGATCAATATACTCCAATAAATAAATAGGGTAAAAAAGGTCTCTCTTTGTGGTCAATCAAGTCAGTGAAATCGTTACTCCAGCTTTTGATTTTATACTTTGAGTGCTCTGATGCATTTGTTAACCGAGGTTAACGAATCGGTAGAAGAATGGAAAGAGAGTAGTCATAAAATGGAAAAGAATCGCGACTATTGGCGTAAGAGGGCTATGGATCTCGAAAAGAAATCGCAAACAATGCCTGAGTCGACAGCAAGAGGTGGAAGATTTAAACGACGGTGAAACGATGGAACTTTGTGCAGAATACGCAGAACGATTATGTTCGACAACGGACACGTAAGAACACCTAACGTTTCTTGAGACACAAATCAGACATTGGCAGAATTTGTCTGCTTTTGAAAGCACCAGATATCTGACGCTCTTGTATAAGATTCACTGCGAGGATTGCAAAAGCGACATAAATAGATACGATCAATTCTGCGCTCAATGCGTGCATTCGGTCAACGAGAGTTAACACGAAATTGAGTACTGGAGAAAGGCATACGAAGTGTTATTGGGAAGATATTATCAGGAACTACGTGACGTCGTAGATGGCTGAAGAATACCTCGTGGTGAAGCCCGAAGAATTCCAACAACTCGTTCATTATTGCAAAGGACAAATTACGGACTACGCCTTACTAAACAAAGCAGGTCATGTTGCTGCCGAAGAGCATATTATTGTAAACAATTCAAAGGTCCCAGATGCTATAGCAAATCAACAGACTAGAGAATTGTTACAAGAATGTAGACGATTGACAAAACGATTAAGAGATATTCCAAGTGTACCTACGGCTGATTTAGCAGATGTAGAGTCTGAAGAAAGTGCCATGACAGAAGGAATTGTGGAAAATTCACTCAAAGCATGGCAAAGAAACAGAAGAAGAAACTGCAAGATGAAATTGCACCCCTCAAGACCCCCAAGAAGGAAATTCCCACTCCTGGAACCTCTAAAAAACCGGCGTGCATAAAAGAAACGAGTCTCACCCACACCTGGCACCTCATCTATGAAGAAAAGACCTCCTCCTTAAAACTTTCGATCTCTTATGGATGATTATCGAGAGCACTTAGAAACTTCCTTTAAGAGTATAAAAAAGGGTAAACAACCTGCCAAAGTCAAATGCAAGACGGAATTGGATTGGTTAAAAGAAGGCGAAGAGGTCGCTTTACGAAAACCCTTGAGAAGACAACTGGACGAAGACTATGAGGAGTTCTAAGAAAAAAAGAACCAAAAGAAAGGCTCCACCGAAAAAAAGGCAGAGAAGAAGCAAATTTGACATTCAAAACTGGATTGCTAAATTAAGAGTGGAATTTCATCCTTACTCTTTATCTAAAAAGAAATGTTATTAATTCCTTGGACCAGGCACATTTTTGAAAAAACGCTTCGTTTGAGGGGATCAGGGCATCAATCGTTTGGATCGCATTGCCAGACAGCACGACATTGACTACTCTAAGGCCAAGAGTCTAGAGGATAAATGGAAAGCCGATGATAAGATGGTAGCCTCTATTAAAAATCTTCCTGGCAAGAAATCAATGATGGAACACCTGGCGCGTTGCATTATGCAAACTAAGAAACAATTGAAGTTGTAATAACAAAACTTGTTTATTAATTAATAAAAACTGTCATTGATTACAACTAGAGTGTCTGTGTTTTTTTTCTCTTTCGATAATGTTTGACACTGTCTTTTACACCTTTAAACACTTGTTTGGCTCAAAGTCTACCTAAGGCACCGAACAATGGAGGTGGACCCGATAGGAACATGCTTAAACCTTCGGCGATTTTGTCTGTTGTGGTGGGACCCCACCGTAATATTCTTTTGACAGTTCTCACCGCCGCATCTCCTGTTTGCAGTCTCCTTCTCCTTCACTTTCTCCAGGTTCTCATGGTTTACTAATGAACGTCACTACACTTACAACCTCTTATATCCGTTTGGATACGACATAAAAGTGTCTTTGTCAATCACGCCTTTGTCAAACACTAAGCCGTACCGTTTGATACGCTTGACAGTCTTACTTTTCTTTGTTTTGGTTTCCTGAACAAAGAAATAAGGGTTGGTCACCTGTATGGTTCTTCGCTCTTCGTCCAAAGGATCTGTAATTTCCTACAAGACATTTTGTCTCATAACTTCGTAATTCAGGTGCTGACTTCCATGATAATTCAGAGTAAATCCACGTACTTTACAGCAAGACTTGCCTTGTTTGGTAAGATATCCGTAATTTTTCACACCGCCCGATTCAAACTCGGTAATGTAATCATTCTCGTTCAATTCACTGGCCATATCGCCGAGATGATCGCCTGATGCGATCGTGGTTTGGCTAGGTTTGAGGTTTGCATGAGTAGATGACAGAATCTGTGTCGTATTACAGGACCTGATCTCGTAAGGGATCCAGATAACTGTATAATTTCAAGTGGGCTTGAGTGGTTGTAAAGGCAGCGATGAAAATATTGATTCTCTTGCCTTTAGAAGCGTCTTCGTCCACATAGCTAAACATCACCTCTAAGACATCTTCTGAAAAGATGCCAATCGCATGAATGACCATCAATGAATTATTTAAATATTCAAACAATTCGTGAGGCACTGTGACTGATTCCACCACAGATTTGTTGAGCTGTTCTCCAAATTTACTCCAGAATAAGTTCAACATGAGTTTGGCTAACGAATGTCTGGCTGCATTCTTCACAATTTTTACTGGTTCCATTCGGATACCTTCATGTGCTTCATAGTGGTTAATGTAATTCTGCAATTCTTCTGGGGTGTGTACATGAGATGGCTGCCCGCTTGATTCTTGTTTCATTTTCAGACATGTATCCACGTACCCGGTACATAGATCAGTGGTCTGAGGACTCATTAAAATCTGTGGATGTCCCATGGGATAAGTTTTATAACACAGATATTCAGAAGTGACATCGATGTAATGTACTTTTTCTCCTTGGGCTTCATCAGTTTTGTCGTACAAACATGTAGCGCCGGTCCTTCCACCATAAAATGCATGACGCGGATCAAGGGGTTCTACAATTTCCAAAGTGTGAAGAAACTGTATCAGTCGCGGATCATGTTTGGAGAGGTCATCCCAAAAACATTCCCACATTTCCACCACGGTGAAACCCATCGAGCGTAACAAAGCGGTTTTGGCACAGGTCGCATCATAGACTTCTTCCATGGAACGGTCTAGATGCACTCTAGGAACTAATCTGCAGTTGGGATTGCAGCGAGGACAACCATGCCATACACAGCCATGAAATTCGTACACGGTCTGGATCACAGGATCGAAACTATCCACGTAACACACACGCGTGGGTGTCACGATCGCATGTTCCTCACGATTCCCTGCATGCGTCACACGATCTTCCGTTCTGGCGAGTAGACCACTGTCACGTTCTTCTTCTCGAAGTGTATGTTCCACCCATTTCAACCATTTCAGAGCTTTCAACGATTGGTTATTACGAGCACCATGCCATCCACCTGCTGGTTCCACAGCAACACAATCAGCACTCAGATGATGTCTTCGCCAATACAAATTACAGGCACTCACAATCGTGATACATTGTTCCATAGGATCAAATTGCGCCTCTTGAGAAAACTCTTCTAAAAAATTTTTGGCGACCCGCTTTCAATAATTTGACGTCAGAAATGCAGTACTCTTCCATTTCTTGGCATAGATTGTATTCCACATTACGTCGCACCTGGTCTTGATACCAATTTAGAAATTCTTGGCGTTTGTCAGGATTCATACCGTCAGGATCGTAAGTATTGCTGGGTGGGATAGGTCTGACATAAGATTGGTTTTCGGGTGTGTTAACAGATGTGGAAAAAATCCTTTTTTGAGTTCTACCAATTCAAAAGCTCTAGGAAACCAAGCTAATGAAAAGGGTAGAAAACAAAAAGAGTCTTTGAAGGTGATAGGGCCAGACGTGACAGAAAGGACTTTGATGCTGACACAGACTTGATTTTCCACTAGACGATGTTGATTGTACAGTTCTTGTAGGATAAACATACTGACATAACCTTTCAGGTTGTGAAACATGACAATGACAGGTCGTTCGAATTCGTCTTCATTGATAGCCAATTGATCTAGAAATTCTAGAAAGTACTGAGAACAATGTTCGCCATAAAATACATGTGTACGGTTCTCCTGATCGGTTTTGCAACATACCATAATAGGTCAATGTTCACCGTCGACTGATTGCATCGCTTCGTAATCGGCATAGACAAAGATGGGTGGATCTTTGATATCTAATTTATCACGGTCAATTGTTGACATAGGGATGCCTTGACGCTGTAATCGTTTGATGTGAGCATTTCGTTCTTCTTTAGAGCGTCGAGGTCATTCCTCTTCTTCGGCAGGTTGAATGAAACATTTGTGAGTTCTTATATCTACATCTTCTTGGCATACAGGACATTGAGTGACACCGCATTGGTGTTTTTTTCCTCCTTTGTTTTTCTTCTTCCGTAATCGGCATAGACAAAGATGGGTGGATCTTTGATATCTAATTCATCACGGTCAATTGTTGACATAGGGATGCCGTGACGCTGTAATCGTTTGATGTGAGCATTTTGTTCTTCTTTAGAGTGTCGAGGTCATTCCTCTTCTTCGGCAGGTTGAATAAAACATTTGTGGGTTCTTATATCTACATCTTCTTGGCATACAGGACATTGAGTGACACCGCATTGGTGTTTTTTTTCCTCCTTTTTTTTTTCTTCTTCCGGGGGTGTTCAATGATTGAGCAGCATTCAGTACATTTGGTGAAAATGTCACACCTGGTTTTCTTGTCTTTGTCGATGACTTTTTGTGATCTTGATAACAATCTGCTCCGAAGAAGTCACGATGACATTTATCACACGTGAGTTCCGGTGTTAATCAGGAAAATCTTTTCGATGACAGGCAGTACATTTTTGGCTTTGAGAGGGATGACGTGCCAAGTCGTCATGATCAAA